AAAAGGAGCTTTATCTTTACGAACTGATCATTTCGCACATCGAAAATTTGCTTCTGAAGCGTATAGGAACAAACAAAATCTTATAGAAAAGATTGTTCAAAAATATGCTGTAGACGTATCGCCGGGTCAAAAAGTGAAAAGTGGAGATTTTGTAACTATCCAACCTGAACATGTGATGACTCACGACAATTCGGCTGTCGTCATGTCAAAGTAATTTTATGTTCAAATTATTGGAATTTTATATTTATCAATCATTTCGATTATTCTGATTATAACTTTTTCATCCTGTTCTTTTTTTAGATTTAAAAATATTGGAGCAAAATCTATTAAATTTCCTAAGCAACCTGTATTTACACTTGATCATAATGTACAAGATAAATCAGAAAAGGTATTTGATTCAAAATTTTATAATTGCTAAATTAAATTGTATTCTATTAAAAAAAAAAATTTATAATTTTCATTAAAGAATTTGGCAAAATATAGATCAATAGAAGAATCTGCCAAATTGCATAATATTGATTTTTATCCTGCTGGTAGAGGAATTGGTCATCAGATAGTTGTAGAAGAAGGTTATGCTTTTCCTTATACATTAACTGTAGCTTCTGATTCTCATTCAAATATGTACGGTGGGATAAGTTGTTTAGGAACACCTATAGTTAGAACAGATGCAGCAGCAATTTGGGCCACAGGTAAAACATGGTGGCAAATTCCACCCATAGTAAAAGTTGAATTCAAAGGGAAATTATCTACTGAAGTTACTGGAAAAGATATCATAATCACATTATGTGGAATGTTTAATAAAGATGAAGTATTAAATTGTGCAATAGAATTTACGGGAGAAGAAAGTATTTATGGAATTAGTATTGAAGATCGATTGGCTATAGCTAATATGACGACTGAATGGGGTGCATTAGCTGGAGTATTTCCAGTAGATGATAGAACAATAAAGTGGCTTAGAAATAGAGTTGATAAATTAGAACTTTTGAAAGATCAAAATAAAAATTTAAAGGATCTAACAAATAATAAACCATTTGTTCATCCTAGAATCAATCATTCTAGAATTGATGAAATTGAAAAAAATCCATTACAATCATCTCCCGAATCATATTATGCAAAGCATTTGACTTTAGATTTATCAACTGTATCTCCGTATGTTTCAGGTCCTAATTCTGTAAAAGTTTCAACATCTGTTGCTAAACTTGAAAAAGAGAATGTTGCAATACAAAAAGCATATATTGTTTCATGTGTCAATTCTCGTGCATCTGATTTAAAAGCTGCTGCTAAAGTCATTAAGGGTCATAAAGTGGCAGATGGTGTAGAACTTTATGTAGCTGCAGCTAGTAGTGAAGTGCAAAATGATGCCGAAGAAAGCGGTGATTGGCAAACACTCATTGATGCTGGTGCAAAGACTTTACCCGCTGGATGTGGACCATGTATTGGTAAACTATTCCGCAAATTTTAAAAATAATTTTTTGTATCATGTTTTGATGATTAATTGTTCCTTTCATAGGTCTTGGTGTTGGTCTTTTGAAA